CCCCACTTCTGCTAGGGATCTAGAAAGCTGTATCACTCCACAAAATCAGGAATTTCCTCTGCAAAAATGAGTAATTTAAAAACAAACTCCAGGCTTTTTATCTATGCTGTCTATAAAGTGGCAAAAATACCCAGAGTCAACATTATTTCCCCATGGCATGTCATCGGTGGCCCTACACCTTCTGGTTACAGGGAGTTTATATGAATTTGTGGCAAATTTTCAGAAGCCTGGACTTGTCCTCCCCCTCTGTGCACGCAGCTTGGCCCTGGTGATCTGCTGCTGTACAAACATCCCATAATTTATTGCTCTAACTCTGAGCAGCACTGGAGCTCAGCTCAACATAACTCAGAAGGCAGAGGTGGCACTGAAGCTGTAGACACACCATTCTGTTGACAGCATTGCTGGCAAAAGAGACGCTGTTGCCTTCCTGCTATCCCTGGCCACTTGTTCTGACGCACACACGTTTGCTTTGCCCCGTGGTGACCTGGATAAGGGAGGTGCCAAAGGACAGAGGAGCAGCTGAGGTCAAGAGAAAGTGATTGCCTGCCTTTTTTAGCAACAGCACTTGCATATACTGGCATAAGCTCTGTGGACTGGTGGCATAAGAAATCCCTGTGGCACTGTGGCTTAGGGGATGATCCAGGCCCTGGCATGATTCCTATCATAGACAGACAGCAATTGCCATATGCGACAAAGGCTCGGATGTATTTGGATGTACCAGAGCTGGGTACAAGTTGTTAGAGACAGCACGGCACTACACACGCAAAACCAGACTGTCCCTTAAAGACCTGTATTCCGATTTCTAACAGAGTCTGATCTGCCCTGCAAGCCAACAGATTTATAGTCTCTTTCAAGCTCAGTCCAAAACCTGTCCAACCATAAATTTGGCTGAAAAGAGTCCCAGAAAGTACATCCAGGGTTAGATGAAGCACAGGGACACAATCTGAACTTTGTAAGAGTGTGACACACAACATCATGTCACAATGTCATGTCACACAAGACGTGCTTCTCCCAGCTCTCTGTGCCTCATTATCCCCAGTACCAGGGTCATCTCAGGGAGCTGCTGAAGATGATTTTCTGGAGAAGAAAACTAGAATCTATTGTCAGATGTTGGACTTTTTTTTTTTTTTCAGATGTAGAGATTGATTACAAAGTGTCTGTGAGAGTCGCTGTTGTTTGCTGAAAAGTCAGGCTTTATAAATGCTATCTGCTGTTAAAACCTTCTTAGAAAAAACAGATTTTAAACAAGTAAAGATTTATGGATGGCAGGGGTCAGCTCTCCCTCTGAGCAGCATCTCCCACACCTTTGCCATACACTCATGCTGTGGTGCTGTTTAGGAACTGAGGTAACTCTTCCCATGATCTTCTTCATCAGGACCATTTGGCTTCTTCAAAGTCTTGGACCTGTAGAGGTGGGGTCCAGCTCTGTGAAGTGTGGGGAGATGCCTCCTCCCTGCTAGGCAGACTCCCCTCTACTGAGCTGAACAGCAGCTTTTGAAGTGGTTCTCCAGATGAGCTGACTATATCTGTGACAGATAGATGTCAGTATGCCTTGGACGGTCATTGCTTTGTGCACCTTGACAGTTTAGAAATGTAACTATACTATTTGTAATAGCCTAAGGCACTAGGTCACTTTGTGGACTAATAACCTGCGAGATGGTATGATCTAATTCAAAGCGATTTTTAGACTTTCAGGAGTTAAACATAACATTTAGTAAAAGTCCATTAAGATTAAAAATATATACAGAGAGAGAGAGGCTAAGCCTTTTTCGGTTAAGTTTTCTACTAGAAACTTTACTAAGAACAAATGCTTATTGCTGAGCTATACTGTAGCAAGCAATCTGGAAAGGAGATGCTGGTGTAAAAGCAGCCATAACAGTAAATTAGGCTATGGCCATGCATCTTCTCCTGGATCCGGATAGGGCAGGGGAAGTGGCGGGTGGTCAGTCTGAAATAAGGAGTGCCATCGCTGTGTTCCTCCCTCTCTGTCAGGAGCGACCGTCCCTTGGATTTGCTGATGGAGGCTCTTGTATTTCAGTCCAAGTGAGCTGGATCAGCAAGACCGATGGTGGAAGTGGTTTAATTGGGTTCATCTTGACTGAAACAGGTCAGAAAAGCCTCAGAAGGGCACCTCCCATGGCAAGCCTGGGGAGGGGGAGCTGATCTGCCTTGGGGGTGTGTGGGGATGCAGAGCTGGGACAGAGGGGAAGCTGGACAGGACAGCTTCTTCCATGGGTGGGCACAGCCGCCTATCCACACCCAGAGTAACCACTACCATTTTCAATGGCAGATTTTCAAGAATGCCGCAGACAAAACTCTTCTGAGTATCACCTCAAGCCCTGACTACAATTCTATCCTCATTTGGGCAAGCTGGGACAGCATGTGTTTTGTGTATATACTTACATATACACACATATGCATACATCTGGATGCACTGGCAATGAAGTCTTAATAAGCAAACCCCATTATACGCAATTTCTAGTCTTATAAATTAATTTATGAGTATCAACACGTATCATTCTGTATGTGGTCCAAACCTTGTACGGTTAATAGGGTGACAGCTGGTGGGTTAGAAAGAGCTAAATCAGAAAGTGATTCAACCCATTAAACTTTAGGAAGAGCAACATCCTGTAAGCTTGGCCTACAATAATATTAAGAACAAAAAAATGCTCTAAGAATTAAGACTGAGTATATCAAGAGGGAATCAGACTGTTTCCAATGGCTGTGAAGAGAAGGCAAACTGAAGCAATGAAAGATGACCAGGAAATCTCAGGAGGAGACAAAGGCTGTACATAATATTTACAACTCTCTTTCTGCCCATATACAATACAATTACACTGACCATTAAAATATGGTTGAAACAGAACAAATCAGCTGGGACTCCAGAAAATCCAGCCCTCCCTCCAGGTAGCCCTTACCATCCTTGTGCCCACCCTGCCTTCTTCCAGGATAGAAGTCACTTCCAGGGAAACAAGGCCTGGGCAGAGCAATTTCTGCATCAGCCACGGTATCCCCTGCCCGTGGACTCACCTCGCAGTGTGCTGCTAGCAGAAATATATGAGACTTAATTCTAACAAGAGGAAAAGTGTAAAGGCAGCAAAAAAGCTGATACTGAGCACAGCTTTGCCGGAAGAGAGAATGAGGGCTGCTGTGTATACACCCATAGACACACCTGCGAGTGTTTGCACACACCAGACCGAGCCAATTCAGCCACTGTGTGAAATTTCACAGCACTGTTTATTCTAGAAAAGAGAAGGGCTTTGAGAAGAGCTGCTTTGCAGCAATCCTCTGTGCACAGCACATAAACCTGAACATTAAATATCGGTTTAAATTATTAAGAATAAATTTAAATTTACAAATAGACTAATACAAACAAGCAAATTTCAGTTAATATTGGAACAGAGCTAGTTTTAGGAAGCATATTGCTATAGCAAATGCAACTCCTGGTTCTCTTGGACACTCTGAGGCAATGCTCTGGTAATTCCAGTTCAGCACCAAGATGCACATACTGCCCAGCAAGGAATAATAACCATCTCTAGCATATGAAGCTCCATGTTCACATTTTTCTTTTTTCCACCATCGCAACAGAAAAAAACCCAACATAGCACATTAGCTTTTCCCACAAAGCATCTGAGGTGACAAAATTTACTTGCAAAACAAAAATTAACAAAAGCAGTACAAAGAAGAATTCTGGTCAGCTTGTGACCACCATGAGCCAAGATGGGTAAGAAAAAGAATAAAAAAATAGTTCACATCTGGCACCACAAGCCTTGCTCATTTTCTTTGAAATCAGGGAATGAGAAAAAAGGTCCATTTTTCTAAGACTGTTTCAACAAAGTTTTCTTTCCCTGGACCTGAAAAATCCAGGTATTAGGGTACAGAACTTTTGTTTTATATGTATATAAATACACATGTACATATTTATATAAATATAAAAGCAGAGCATCCTCCCGTTTCTCCTCATAATTTATTATTATTAAAGCTTGTATCAGGGTTAGCTGGACTCCTCAGAAGTGGGTGCTCTCTGCACGCACATGGCACGGGGAGTTTAGCTCTGTTAGAGCAGAACAGCCAGGCAGGGACATGAAACGTTGGGTGACAGAGGTGGATTTGGGTGAGCAGCCAGGGAAGGGCAGGGAGCGATGACTGGGAAAAGGTGGGATGCTGGCCTGCCAGAGCCGGTCTCTGTGAGCAGACTCCTGGGAGGATGGCTGCGCCAAACCACCTGTCCCCTCAGTAGCCCCGGTGCCCACCCACTCTCTTCTGTACCAGCCACTTAAGAGGGACTGTCCCTCACTTTTAAAGGGAGTCCCACTTTGCCCCCTAAGCACATGCACGCTAGTTCCCTTTGGTAGTATTCCCCACCACGCTGCCATGGGTCTTTTTGCCTACCGTCCTCAAAGTCACCAGCACCGTTCCTTGCCTCTGCTTGGTTCCCCAGCCCCTTCACCTAGTCCTCCCAGACCTCCTGCTTGCTGGCTGAGATCAGACACCTTTTTCTCCCCTGATCCACAGGCTCCCACTCACACTGTTTTACGTGAATGCTTTCCCACAGTCTCGTAAGACCCAATAATCTCCTCAGAAGACTGAGTTCCTCAGAGGTTTTCTGCTCTTGGAGACCTCCGAGTAAGTCAGGGCTGGTGGCACATGCTCCTCGAGTGGTGCTGACTTCCAGAGACAGCAGGGGCGAAGTGCAAAAGATTTCTTGAAATCAGAAGGTATTTCTACCACTGACAGCTCTCTCCCGTCATGTTGTATAGCACTTGTTTCAAGTAAGGTATTATTCATGTGTCTCTGCAGCCTTCACTCTTCCTGGGGTGAGTGGAGATCAGTAGATGTCTACTGATGATCAGCCGAGCCACTTCATCATGACGCATCTCGGAACAGCTGAAAACACTCAAATCTGACTACGTTCTCCATAGCAAAAAGTGCTTTTCTTGAGAAACAAAATGAAAACAGTGTTCCCATGGAACATCTTAAGGACTCAAAAACAGTATTCCTAGGGTGGGAAGGATGGAGCACACCTACTTTATTTGGCTTTATCTCAGTAAGGAAACAGAGCTACTGGAAAAATTGGCACATCTTTGTGAAGTTGTTAAACTAGAGACCCTGGCTGGAATGTAAAAGAAACTACGGAGCAAAGGAGAACTTTGCTATACGCTGGGCTTCTGCCAGGTCAGGTGATTCCATGTGCAGGTTGTCCAAAAAAGTTCTGCTAGCTGAGTAAAGATGAATCTCTCAATGAACTGTAGGTTTTCAAGGAGGCCTTTTGGGGGTACTGCTACAACCTAGTAGAGGTAAGTCTTTTCATGCCTCGCCGCTGGGCCAGATTGGAGGATAATACAGGCTCCAGCCTTGGTGCCTGAGGTGCTCGGTTTAAAGCAAAGTAAGTGGCTGCCATTGCACCCTGTAAAACAGAGAAAGAGACAGGAGAACTTTTTTTTTTTTCTCAGAAAGAGAAAATGCTGGGCTGAAATTCAGTTCTTTGATGCTTTTCCCCTCCTTTTCCCTATTCAGCCCCCTGAAAAAATGGACGTACATGGATGATTTCCATGAAAGGACAACAACTTTTAGGCTGGCAGACAGCTGAGATGTCCCTGATTCAAAGCAGTGGGTAGCAGTATGTGCACGGAGTCCCACCAGGTTGTTACAATGCATATGGAAGTTAAAAATACTGAGCAGCTGACAGGTCAAAAATCTTTCCTGTTAATACAGTGTTGTATTAAATTTGGCCTCTATGGCAAATAACTTTCTCAATTCCTCTGTTGCTTTCCAGAATATTCACATGAATGATAGCTCATTCTGCAAGAAAGGAAGAGACGGGGGTAGGATGTACCTTCACCAGCTGAACATCCTGTCTGCTCAGTTGGTTTTGAGACAGATACTCCCTGTTCACTATCCATGGATGTCTTAGGACTTGGACTGCTGTGAGGCGCTGATGAGGGTCTACGTGAAGCATCTTTGACACAATGTCCTGGGTTTAAAAGGAAGAAGACAGTAAAAGGGAAAAATTAATTAACAGCATTGTAGGTTTTAATAAGATCTTCCCAGTGGCAGTGTGATCAACAGCATGTCCAATGGAGAGAGGGATGCACTTTCGATATGCTTTCTATTTTTAAAGCGTGAAGTCTGATCTTCAAAATTTTCAAGCGTAATGTTCAAGTCTTAGCTGATAATCCAGTCAAAAAATAATCTGGAGGGTATTCAGAGTGAGTGTTAATTACTGGTGACCTCGTAGGGCTGATAAACTCCACCTAGAGAGGATGCCATCTGGAGGTGTGTCCTCACTGACTCAAAAGCATGCTTGCAAGAGAAGCTTAGGAAGAAATCTAACATTCATTGTTGGGCTCATAGTTGTTGGTAGCAAGAGGAATACGTTACTAGGATTACTTACAGTTTTGTGGTGGGATACATCAATGTTCTTCCATTGGATGCTAGCAGTTGCTAAAACTGAAATCTCCTACAGGAATCTCTAAATCCTGTCAAAGTTTCTGATCAATGCCAGGCAACTGGGAGCTTGCTGGCTTTCCTGCCCATCTACCTGTTTCACAGACCAGTGCACAGCTTCATGTCCAGGAGTCTCAGCACCAGATGAATTTTATCTCCTGGGGTTTCCATGTTTTGTGATAGATGGGCAGCCCATCAGAGAACAAGAAAAAAAGTCTGAGAAAGTGTTCACTGACCTTTGCAGTATCTGATACTGAATCCCAATTTCCTCCTGTAAGTGCATATTTGCCACTGCCAATCCTGGCCAGAATCTCCTCTGGGGTGTCGTCTGGTCCATTTGCAAAAGGAGTGAATCTATTTTAAAAAAGAGAAAAAAAATACAGTGTAATTGGCAAGTATATGATTTCTAGGATCTAGCACTAACTGCCACCATTTACAACAGGGATTTAGTTCCAGCATGGACCATAGACATTGCTGCTTCATTTTCACTTGAACTGTACAGTCCAATGGTTCCTCATCTTAAGTTATTCTGCAGAGGAAAAGACTGATTCTTAACTGTGGGGTTTTTTTGTTTTGTTTTGTGTTTGTTTTTAAATTTTGTTCTGTTCTCATTTTTTAGGAAAGAAATACTCTTTTTAAAAAATAGACAGTTTTTTATCTCTTTAATTGTTTTAACTCTGCTTTACTGCTGATAGAAGTACCTTCATAATGACAAGAAAGGATAAAAACAATAAAGGAGAAAAATTAGGATCTGAAACTCAAAAAAGGAAAAGAAAAAAGAACCCTTTATAATCTATTTTGCAATGCTTTGTTAACCATAATGTGCAAGTCTGTTGAGCAAAACAAATGATCTTCAATAGGCTACTTCCTGATCTAGCCAGTCAGAAATTACTAGTAACATGCACCCAGCTTTACAAAATTAGTGTCACATGCGAAGGGCACACTTTTTGTCTTCGTAAAGCAACAAGTGATAAGATTTTTGCAGCTAACTAGAATCAACCAGGCCAAATTTTACTCTGCAATCTTGAACAGCTCTGTAGATTTAGAAGAAGCAGGTATTTAGGATTTTTATGCTTTTTCTTCCATCTGTCTTTTCTCTTTTGAAGGCTTGTCAGAGTGTTTTTTAGATTGTTAAACAGTTGGTTTGGCCCCAGCTTCCTATCCTACCTGGTTTCTAATAGCACATTAAATTCCTCACGCTGTGTTTTCTAATTTTCAAAACCATGTCAGATTTCACAGAAGTTCAGCCCAAAGAGACACATAATATTATTATTGTAATCTGTATCAAGAGGGATGCACTAAGAGTTATGGACTGGCTAAAACTCCAAAATCTGTCACTACTTACATTAAGAGAATCCCAGGCTTCTGCTGGGTGTCTGAGCTCTCTCTGCTCATAGTGATGACGAAGAATAAATTCCAGTTCTTACTAACTCTCCTCTGGTGAGGAAGAACAAGACCATCCCTAAATGCAGTGGTGGCACCTAAAAAGTCAGCACTTCTCAACTGTTTGCATTACTCTCATTTTCTCTTGTAAGTGCAGAAAAAAGCAAGATACAAGTTAATAGCACCTGTTGGTAAATTTAATATCTGTTAAGTTGTGCAATTCATATTTCAGATTCAAATGTATTTGGATTTTTTTTTTTCACATTTAAAAAAGAAGCATTTTGAATATAATCAGCTAAACAAATGTGACTGTAGGTAACGTGTTGATTTTATTTTACTGGCTCTGGTTGAGTATCACTGCAAATCTGGGGCATCAGCCAAATAAAAACAGGTTCTTGGAGATCCCAGTAGACTGGGAGACTGCTCCAGAAAGTCACAATGTATTTCAGCTAATGGTGAATACATTTGTACTTGGGAACAAAACAGATGAGATAGAAACTCCTGGCACCTTTTCTATAATCCATGAGGCAAGAGACATGAGTAACAGAAAGGTAGGGTCTGACTTTCTTTTTTTCTCTATAAATCTAGGAATGAATCCAAGCTTCTTGCCACAGCTGAATGATCGTGAAGCAGATTAAAGAGCTGTGAGAGGCCACTGAAAAGTTTCAAGCTGCACTTAGGTATGATGAATGTGCACATACCATACCCTGAGAAATGAAATTCAGGGGCTTGATAATTCCAGATTGCGTTTGCACTGTGTTTCCCATTCACCTCAGCACATCTTATTCTTATCCTTCACTGCTTATTTCAATCTGTCGCTTTCTCTGGGTCTTCTTGTATGAGTATTTAGCCACCACATTGGTAGGGGTATTTTTGCCAAGTACCTCCCAAAAGTTCCTGCTGCCTGTTGCTGTTCTTGCTAGTCTGTTTCTGTCCTTTCTGCAGTGTATTTTTCAAATAGCATCTGAAAACTATGTTTGGGTTGGGGTTTTTTTTAGCTTTTAAAGGTGCTCAGATACCTTGATAACAGCAGTAGAAGAAGAATGAAGCTGAAGAGAATACATGTATTAATAGAAATGAATGAACACCCTCTTATGGATAAGGTGAACATGATATGGCTCTTCATACTCCTACGCTCCTCTCCTAGTGTAAAACTTTCAGGCTGCTTAAGTGGTGAGTGAGCCTTTTAGGAGTTTAGGTCTCAGACACTTATGGGCACAGGCTGTTAAAAACCTGAGCAACTTGTGAAGTGTCTAAGATATTTATGCGTTCCAGAAAAACTTATTCTAATCCTAGGTTTTAGTATCTATTTTCTTGCCTCATACAACTGAGCACATTTCTCAAAGGAGGCCAGACAGTTTGCTGTCTCTATCTGTGGCTTCTTTCTGGCTTAATCAGTGCTGAAGTGCTGAGCCCACTGGACTGGTGCTCTGGGAAAACCTCTTCACTCACCCTGCCAACATGGTATACAGTAGGATCCCCAAGCTCCAGATGTCACAGGCTGCATCGTAACCTTGGCGTTTAAGGACCTATGTGAAGGAAAGAGAGAGATGAAAATAGGTTAATCTGCATTCCTGAAGTTTTAGCTTCTGATCTTCAAAAAGCACCAATTAGTGGTTGTATCTGCTAACGTTTCCAGGGCTTAACCACATATTTTGCTTGAACAGGTGGCTGCCTAAGGATCAAAATGTTCAGTAGTGGTGTGGAGCAAGGTGAAGCTCAGGCTGGACTGGTTAGTGTTCAAGCCCAGCGTATCTGTCACCTCCACAGTGGCAGAGGTGAGTGCAGTTTGTTGGAGACTCTGGGAGCCTCTCTGACTATCTAACACACAGCAAAGCAGAACAACGTTTCAGTGGTTTAAAATGTTTCTTAAAAAAAGCTTGTTAATGCTTGGAAACATATCCTCCTAACATAAAGGTTATCAAGAACACTGTGGATGCAACAAACGTAGGGCTGAGTGACAGTGATAAGCATATCTGAGCTCAGTTTGGATTTGATACGGCAAATGGATGCACACTAATGCATCTCTAAAGCATCGTCAGACTAGTAAAGACTCATGACAACTGCAAAGAAAGGCTTGTTCTTATCTTACTTCTGTATTAAGAAAAGTGGCCAGATTAGTACTGAATGTAACAGATAACACTTGAACCCTTTTACCTATGAAGAAAACAAGACCCATGGTACTCAGCATAGATCCGACCAGTAGGTTCGACATTGGTACAGGATGGCAAGTTATAGTGGTAAGTGTAAAATCTAGATTTCGTTTATACTAGTGCATACTAGAAGAGATGCCTATTTGAGTCAGTGCAGGTCCAAGTGAAAGTGAAGTCACCAACTAAGGCAACATTGCTGAGATTAGGGGGAAAACTTTGTTTCTCTTTGGCTCAGAAGAGCTAAGGGACCACCTCCAGATCTTCCACTTGCTTGTAAAAGCTGTCTACCCTTCTATTTATTCAGTTCTGACACACAAGGAGAGTTTTGTCTCCTTCTGATGGATCCATTGCTTTTTTGCAAAGCACATGAAAAAGGAATGTACAAATTCAGCAAGTCTTTCTCTGACCTGCAGCCTTATTACCCAGGAGTGATTTCAGCTCTCTGAAGTCTATCACAGAAAAGACCAAGCACTGCTAGGGAAAAACAGTTTCAGAAAACGTTGCCTCGACAGATTTTACAAATGATGAGGGGTAAAGCAGCCATCTGCCAAGTATGCTGCTGAGTGAACATTTGTCACCTGGAAAAAAAATAAACTGAGAAAAAGCTGCATTTCCTCCTGTTGACAAAGCAGGTAAATCCTGCTTCTGCCTCTCTCTCCTGCACATCATATGTGTACTCTCTGGATGTTTTAATTATTTCTGTTTCTTTAGTTCCTGCATTCATTCCTCCTCTATTAATGCTGGGTTTTATGTGAAAAACTTCTTTGCTATTTGACAAACTCTGTTGCTTCTAGCCTGAGTTTCCAACATGTACCTTTCAATGTGGCCATTCTTGTTGCTTCTTGAACAGCTAAATTTTCATTGCTATCACTGTCTTCCTCCAATAACCAAGGACAATCAAGTCCAAGGCAAAGGACAGAAAAATGGGGCAGAGATGATATTTAGTGGAGCAGGGTATTAAGCAAATGATTACATAACCCCAAAATGATGGGCAGGTGTCGCTGTGAGCTGTTGTTCAGTTTGCGAGAACGCTGCTGGATAACAGGGACATTCGCTCTGTGCCAGTCTCTAGGGAAAACTTTGCTGGCAATTACTTTTTATCGACAGCAACTTCACCCCATGGGTAACAACAGGATCTAGTGAGAGTTATCAGTTAGTGTTGCTGCTATTTGAAAACGTCTCCAGCAGGTCTGTGCAACTGTGGTTAAAGTGAGAACACTGAGCTGGCAGGAGTAAGTACCAGAAACCTCGGCCAAAAAGATTAGTGTTTGATATTGGGGGTAGATACTATTGAACGGTAACAGGCACATGTCTTAGAAATAAATCAGTCAGGGCAAGAGTTTTGCAAAAGATGTACTAGTGTCCCGCTCTAATGGATGCTGAAACTGCCACGAAGGGTTTAGGTCACCTCAAGAGTTTGATGGGATCAGAAATACAGGCATGAGCTGGTTCTTAATGCCACACACGGCAGGGCATTGTGGTGACAAGGGACAAACTTCCCCTTGGTGCATCCAGTTCTGATAATGGCTCAGATATTTATCCAACCCTCTTCTATTTCTATAGGCTTTAATTTATTGGACTAACAAGGTTATGAATATAAGCTTTTCTCAGTTGTGACACAAGCATGGATGCGTATGGATATGAAAGCTAATAAACAATCATCTCATCATTTCAAACACCAAAGCAGTAGTTCTTCACGGATTTTGGAGGAAAACTACAAAATAAAACATTTTTGCTTTATCCAGAAGAACCCTACTGCATCAGCAG